TCACTCACATACACACACACACACACACACACCACACACACACATCCACACACTCCCCTTTCTCTCCCTCCCTCACTCACACTCTCTCCCTCACTGCTGCCTTTTTCCTGCCTCTGTAGTTGGGTCTGGAGTGTCTGGAGTGTTATTGACCTTTTCAAGGATGGAGTCTCCTCTCCAGGTGTCTGGTTATGTGGCTCGCTCTCTATCACATTGATCAAACAGGACAAAATGCAACTCAAAAAGATATGACACAAAGGAAACAAAACACGAATGTACTCATGACACCTACAAACCCAATATAAGTGACCACCAGAGAAAAGAGAATTAGGGGAGAGAAAAGAGAGTGCAAATGATATCAAGGAGAGAAAAAATGGTAAGAGAGAAAAGAAAAAGAAGAAAAAGAAAGAAAAAGGGAAATACACACACACACACACACACACACTCTGAGTGGCCAGATAATTATGACCACCTGACGTTTGTAGGCAAATTAGCCGTACACTGCATTGTATGTGATATGGAAGCTGAAGGTTTGTTCGAACACCTTTGCTGTCTGAAGTTACCAAGATAAAAAAGTCTCTAATTCTCATAGGAACACAAGGATTAGACAGTCGAGCATTGGAAAAAAGTCATGTGGTCCGATGAATCACGTTTCCAGTTGCATCATGCAGATGGCAGAGTGAGAATTTGGCAGAAACAGCATGAAAGCATGCACCCCACATGCATGAGTACAACCCTTCAAGCTGGTGGGGGCAGTGTTATGGTTTGGGGCATGTTTTCCTGGCATGATTTGGGCCCTTTAATTCGTGTAGAACAATGTCTGAATAGCACAACATACCTAAGTATCATTGCTGATCAGATTTATCCTATCATGTTGATGGCGTATCCCAATGGAGATGGCTTCTTCCAACAAGACAATGCGCCATGCCACGGTGCTCGTATTGTGCAGGAGTGGTTTCAAGAACATGAGGGAGACTTTACCTTGCTTACGTGGCCCCCACAATCAGATCTCAATCCAATTGAGCATTTGTGGGACAAAGTTAAGAGAGCCATCAGGCAGCTGGTTCCACAGCCATCAAATCTCACAGAACTGGACCGTGCTATTCATCAGGCATGGTGTCAGATTCTTCGCATCACCTTTCAACATCTCATGGAGTCAATGCCAAGAAGAATCACCACAGCATTGGAGGCAAAAGGTGGCCCAACGAAGTACTGATGGGGTGGTCATAATAATCTGGCCGCTCGGTATATGTATATGGAGAAACACCACAGAACAAACAGATAAACTAAAAAATGCAAACACCAAACACTCAGAAAAAAGGGCAGGGGCAGAATCTGTAGAGGCTGAGTTTATATACAGGAAATAAGGTTAAGGAATTGGATGAATATGGGGTGGACCTCAGCTCATATAGAGGAAGTAGGAAGAGGATGAGTGGATAAGAAGAAAGAGAAATTAGAAAAAATTTTTAAAAAATTAATTAAAAATAGGATAAAATAAAAATAGAAAAAATAGAAATATAATGATGAAAAATAATGTGGGAAGAAATAAAAATAAAGAAACAAACAAAAAATGGAAATACAGAAAAAAGAAGAAAAAGAGAGATAACAAAATAATAATAAAATAAAAATGAAAAAGTTAAGTGTCCACCAAGTTTTAATCCCCCATGGCGCTGTTTGAGATCCCATTCTTCTGTACTGTCTGCCACTTCTCAGTTCCTGTTAGATTGTTGAAGTTCCAAGCAGTCCACTGTCCTCTGTTTGTGACTATTTCCACAGCCTTGACTACCAGCTGGCAGGATCAATCTTCCCACTAAGCCTATCTGCCCACTTTCAATCTTAATCTCTCAAGTGGCTGTTTCTGACAGGGCTATAGTTGGGGAGGTTGCCATATGGCTTTTAGGGACTGAAGGGTCTCTCAGATTTTTTTTTTGTATCCTTTGTAGCACTCAGGGTGTAGTCTGGGTGTGGCGATATTAGTTGTCTGGAGACTGCAGGGAGGGGTTATCTCTTCAGGAGATAATGGCTGCCTAGGTCTAGCACATCAGATATGACTCAATGCCAGACTCCTGGCCACCTCTCCCTGAGCGGTTCCTCTCCCCAGCCTCTCCCCAGATTCCATAAGTCTGCACATCAGCCATGGGTGAGTGTTTGTATTTGAAAGGTCCTATGAACTGGGTTTAGCGAATAAAAGAAAAGACCAATGAGGGGAAAGAGCTGTGCCACTGTGAACCCCTCTCCCCCTTACACGGTGTGGCTTGGGCAGTTGTTCAGGCTGACTCCTCGGGGCTCAGCCTCTCATGACTGTGGGCTTAGATCTAGAATCTCCTGCTGCAGCCCAGATCCCTGATTTTACCATTCTCCAGGAGTCCTCTGCCCTTCCCGGCTGTGAATTGTCTCACCAGCTGTGTCTACTTCACCAATTCAGGGTGGATGTTATTCAATTTAGTTGCTCCTATATGCTCCAGGACAAGGCTCGGGTCATGGCTGCCTATTCCACTGCCATTTTGTTTCTCCTGAAACTTAGCTTTAATCCTGTCAGAAGGGTAGCTTCTACTTAAGAATTCTAAAGGAATTTTCTCCCTCTTCTGCATGGCACCAATATTAAGGCAGGTAGTTCTCTTGCTGCTTTCTTAGTTCTGATTTATCCTTTTTCTGAGACTGTAATCTCCTGGGGTCCCAGCTTCATAGAGTCTCTATGTCACTCTTCATAGTAGGTGTATCCTGGGTTTGCTTTCTTCCCTCCTACATCCCAAGTAGCTGCCAAAATGGGAGCACCTCGTCCCAGATTCAACAGATCTGCCTGTGTACTTCTTGGGTTCCGGTTTTCAGTAATGTTTTGGCTTCTGTGTGTTTGCCAGCAGCTATGCTTCATCAATGCCCATGAAAGGTGTGAAGGAAGGCAGGAGAAGGGAACAGATCAGAACCTTGACCCACTTTGACCAGAACTCTTTCATTTTCTTCCATTTATAAGTAGGTTATAGTGTCACTTTACTTAAAAACTGCTGAAATGTTGAAAACCTTCAATTGGAGTCATCTTAAAGAGGACCTTTGTGGATGAAAAGAGGTCATAAGTCTGACAAGCTCAGGAGAGGCTTGCATCACAACCCTGCAGACTCAGATATCTAAAATCCTATCTAATAATAGACAAACATGGTAATTAACCATACCTCCGCTACGCTTTCCATCGGCTAATCAGCAGGATATGCAAATTAACTGCCAACAAAGATGGCGGCTGGCAGCCACGCAGCTGAAGCAAACATGAGGCTTGCTTGCTCCAGTGATAGAGGAAGCCAAGGTTCCCCGCCTTCTGCGGCCGGGCTCTGAGCTCCGGATGCAACAATATTGCAATTATAGAAGCTAAACAAACCCCAGACACCTGCTTTCAGCCAGCCATGGCCTCAGAGCTGGAGCCAGCTCTCAGCTCCAGTGACAGCTATAGAAGGTAAATAAATCCCAGAATAAAAAAGAAAAAGAAAAAGAAAGAGGCTGGGAGCTTCAGTCGCCTGCCAGCCTGAAAATGGCCCTTAGCCCCTCACTCAGACTGGCCAGGCACCCCAGTGGGAACCCCCACCCTGAAGGGGGTGTGACCAGCTGCAAACAGCCATCAGCCCCTAATCCAGGCTGGCCAGGCACCACAGTGGGGACCCCCACCCTGAAGGGGGTGTGACCAGCTGCAAACAGCCATCAGCCTGTCATTCAGGCTGGCCAGGCACCACAGTGGGGCCCCCCTCCCTGAGGGGGTGTGACCAGCTGCAAACAGCCATCAGCCCCTCACCCAGGCTGGCCAGGCACCCAAGCGGGACCCCCATCCTGATCCAGGACACCCTTCAGGGCAAACCAGCTAGCCCCCACCCGTGCACCAGGCCTCTATCCAATATAGTAAAAGGGAAATATGCAAACTGACCCTAACAGCAGAAAGACTTGGAATGACTGGTCACTATGACACACACTGACCACCAGGGGGCAGACACTCAATGCAGGAGCTGCCCTCTGGTGGTCAGTGCGCTCTCACAGGAGGGAACTCTGCTCAGCCGCAAGCCAGGCTGATGGCTGCCAGTATAGCAGTGGTGGTGGGAGCCTCTCCTGCCTCCTCAGCAGCCCTAAGGATGTCTGACTGCAGCTTAAGTCTGTTCCCCGCTGGCAAGTGGACATCCCCAAGGGCTGTGGGGCTGCCAGAGGGATGTCTGATTGCCATCTTAGGCCCAATCCCCTGGGAAGCAGGCCTAAGCCAGCAAGTGGTCACCCCTGAGGGGTCCCAGACTGCGGAAGGGCACAGGCCGGGCTGAGGGACCCCCTACCCCCGAGTGCACAAGTTTTTGTGCACTGGGCCTCTAGTAACTATATAGGATGGTCTGAAAATAAAGCTTTTTCACTAAGAGTAGTGCATAGTGGGTAGTCATATCCTAAGGCAGTATTCTTCCCTGGCGAAGGTCAGTCTTCACCTTAGCTAAGTCTGTCTATTGTCTTTTTGTGTCTAGGATAACATGCCTAATAAACATGTCCTTGCAAAAACAATGTAATTTCCCTTTTTCCAGACCCCCTCAGAGCACAGACACCACAACAGAGCAAAGACTACAAATCCCCTCATTGTCATTATCATGTTAATTGTTGACCCATAATTGTCCTGTACCCACCTGTGTAAAGGAGGTATGTGGGTATCGTTTTACTTTTTATCCAATCTCAGAAGTTTCTCCACTTTGCTTTCCCCCTCCCCAATCTATTGCCAATGGATTTCATGTAATCCACTTACGTCTTCTCTTTTGATTATAATGTGTAAAATAAGATACAGAATTGCCATTTTCTGGAGCATTTTCTCAATCCATTGAAGTTTTGCTTCCCAGCAATTGCCATCAGTTTGGCTCAAATAAACTCATAAAATTCTCTACAGGCTTGAATGTTTCTTATGTTGACATGTCCTACAATTATTGTGCAGTTTTGAGGATCTGGCTATAAATGGATGCTGATACATTGAACTTTAACTTTCGCCTGCCAGACTGAGAAGTCTAGATCTGAAAAATGGTGAAAATGTCACTGTGCCTCCTGGATGAGAAGTGGCCCCAGACTATCCCCAGCAGCCATCAGAAGCCAAGAGCACCTCACTGCTGGCTGCTGTGAGCCATATGTCAGTCCTGGCATCAATGTGGTGCTCCTTGGTCAGCACAATATCCAGGGAAAATGCCACCACTGAGCTCACATACAGTGTGATTAGCACTGGTGGATAAGGAGAGTGCTGCTTTCCTGGGAATAGCCTGAACCCAGAAACCTGAAATCCTGACCCCTGCATAGATCATGCAGAAACAGTAGGTGATAGAGCTGTGCATAGAAAGAAAATGCACAAGATGTGTGTGACAGTGACTAGGGAGCCGTGGCTCAACTTGATGCCCAGTCTCAACTATTTGATGCATGAGAATCCTAGCTCTCCAACCTGGCATCCTGCAAAGCCAAATGAGAAATATGGGGAATAAGGAGGCCACCACATTATGGATAGCTTCACAGGATATGAAGGAGAGGAAGTGCAGAGGACGAGCGACTGTTAGGTAGCTGTGCAGCACAGTGGCCATGAAGGACAAGGTGGCACTGGTGTAGGTAGTGAAGACAGAGTCTGTGAGAATACCAGCTGCCCAGGTTACTGGAGAAGATGAACATATGAAAGATAATGTAGGCTGGATATGAGAGCAGGATGGAAGCCAGCAGCAGCAGCAGCTCAGAACTAGCATGGCCACAGCCAGGAGAGCCAAGGGAGGAAGAACCAGCGCAGCAGGAAATGGACACCCTGAGATCCCTGGGCTCAGGGAGGTGTTGCTGGCTGCCTAGGACATGCAAGGGAGCTTGCTGATGAGATGGTCAGGCTAAACAGGCTGTTGTGTTCAGGGGCCAAAGTGCCAACTGACACCCCCATAATTCCTGGCAGGAGTGGCAGGCTTTGTCATAGGTGATTGGTTCTGCACTTGCCCCTGGTATGGATCTCATCTACAGGGGTCCTGATAGTGCCACTCTTCTGCAGAGATACTGGGCTTGGGCAGGTCTTAGGAATGACTGTTTAACAAAAATAAAAACAACAGTGCAAAATTATGCTCACATGCATTCATGCACATCTCTGCTAGCTGCCCAGGCTGCATGTGTGTGTGTGTGAGTATACCTAAACAGATTAGTTCATTGTGATGATTTGTTGGTCACTGACCTCTTGATAAGTGTCCCCCATTTCAATTTCCCTCAAACCTGTCTGGTAAGCCAGCGGGGAGGGCACAATACTCACTACATTGGATTGGATCATGGGTGAGAGGCTAGAAAAGAAAGAGCAGCTTCTGGGAACTAGAATTGCCAGGCCTAACTTCTGACTGGGGCTGCACATGACAGTAAATGAGGCCAGGATGGAGAAACCTTGGCAGGCTCATACTCTTCCTCACAGAGCCCTGGGGGCCACAGCCCCCATGAGAGGGACAGTGTGTGTGTGTGTGTGTGTGTGTGTGTCCCACACCCTTCTACATGGGACTTCACATGGAAGAGTACTCAGCCATCCATGTGTGGGATCCCTATGTGGTAGGAAGTCCCTGCTATAGTCTGGCAGATAGAAGCCCATAGAAGCTAGGCAGGGGTCCTCAAACTAGAGCCCGCGGGCCATGCAAATAAAAATATTGTATTTGTTCCCGTTTTGTTTTTTTACTTCAAAATAAGATATGTGCAGTGTGCATAGGAATTTGTTCATAGTTTTTTTTTAAAACTATAGTCCGGCCCTCCAACAGTCTGAGGGACAGTGAACTGGCCCCCTGTTTAAAAAGTTTGAGGACCCCTGAGCTAGAGGAAGAGAAGGAAGTAGAAGAGAGAAGAGGATAGGAGACTTGTGTGTGTCAGCTAGGCAGCTGGGACATCTCAGGTTATCCAGAGGTGTAGACAGTTGTGTGCAATTGGCCTGGGCCCATGGTGGGAAGGCCAAAGGGATGGGACTCAGGCTTCATGCTTTGAAGATCCTGGTTGTGTGGCCTTGAGAAGATTTGCTCACATGTATACATTTGTTTTCTTATTTGTAAATGTGAATGCTTCTCATGGGAACCTCATGGAAGTATCGCAAAATCCAGAGGTTTTAATCAGGTGCAGCCCATACCTCCCAACACACTCTCCAGGAGCTTCAGTCCTCTCTGCTTACAGATCCCCTTATCATCACTGCAGAAACAGCTGCACTGCTACTCCATGCCCCTGGGCCCTCCCACAGCCCACCCAAGGCCCCCTAAATTCTGCCTAGCTGGAGAGAGAACTACCATGGAGCTTGGGCCTTCCTCAGCACAGCCAGATTGTTATTAGGGTCAGAGGGAGACAGGAATTTTAGAGACTGAGTCATGAGAGGGCCAGCCTTGCATTATATATGCCACCTAGACCAGAATCAGCAGGTGACACAGTTGCCTCATCCCTCAACCATGGATCCTCTGACCACACAGTGTCACTGCCTCCCTTCTCTCTCTCAATGGTGTTATAGTCCGAAGACTTCAAAGGAACCCTATCTCTGCCTCTCATTATTAACTGTGTGATCTTGGCTAAATTACTTTGCCCCTATGGGCCTCCGTGGACTCACCTGGGGTCCAGGATGCGAATTTGTCTGTCCTTAAAGGCCAAAAAAAAAGGGAGGGAGGAGAAGGAAAGAAAAACAAAACAGTTCAGAGAGTAGAAAGGAATAAAGTAGTTTAAAAGAGAAGGAAAAAGGAAGGAAGGAAGGAGTTTATTCTTATATATGGTTTAAGTTGGTGGTCTAGTTTTTTTGTTTGTTTTTTTGCATGTATCTGTCCAATTATCCCAACACCATTTATTGACTAAACTGTCTTTACCCCATTGTATGTTCTTGTATCCTTTGTTAAAAATTAATTGCCCAGCCCTAGCTGGTTTGGCTCAGTGGATAGAGTGTCAGCCTGTGGACTGAAGGGTCCTGGGTTTGATTACAGCCAAGGGCACATGTCTGGGTTGTGGGCTCGAGCAGGAGGCAGCCGATCAATGATTCTCATCATTGATGTTTCTATCTCTCTCTCTTCCTCTCCCTTCCTCTCTAAAATCAATAAAATATATATATATATATTAAAAAATAATTGCCCACATAGGCAGTTTATTTCTAGACTCTCTATTCTGTTCCATTGATCTATATTTCTGCTTTTATGCCAGGGTCATAAGTTTTGATTACCATAGTCTTGTAGCATAGTTTCATGTCAGGTAGCATAATACTTCCAACTTTATCCTTCTTTCTCAAATTGCTGTGGTTATTCGGGATCTTTTGTGGTTTCATATACATTTTTTTGATTATTTGTTCCAGTTCTGTGAAATATACCATTGGTATCTTGATAGGAATTGTATTGAATTTATAGATTACTTGAGTGGTATAGACATTTTTATTATGTTAATTCTTCCTATTTATGATTCCATTTACTTTTATCTTCTTTGATATCTCCTTCAGTGTCTTAAAATTTTCTGAGTACAGGTCTTTTACCTCCTTGGTTAAATTTATTTCTAAGTACCTTATATATATATATATTTAATATATTTTTTATTGATTAAGATATTACATATGTGTCCTTATCCCCACGTTACCCCCTACTCCCCCCCCACTCATTGCCACACCCCCCGCCCCCCGTTGTCCGTGTCCATTGGTTAGACCTATATGCTTGCATGTAAGTCCTTTGGTTGATCTTTCCCCCTTACCCCCACCCTCCCCTACCTTCCCTCCAAGGCCCTACAGTCCAATCAATGCCTCTCCGTCTCTGGATCAGTCCTTGTTCATCAGTTTATGTTGTTCATTATATTCCACAAATGAGTGAGATCATGTGGTATTTATCCTTCTCTGACTGGCTTATTTCACTTAGCATAATGCTCTCCAGTTCCATTGATGCTGTGGAAAATGGTAAGAGTTCCTTTTTCTTCTTCCTCTTCTTAAAGAATACCTTTCAGCATTTCATATAATGCTGGCTTGGTGGTGATGAACTCCTTTAGCTTTTGCTTATCTGTGAAGCTCTTTATCTGACCTTCTATTCTGAATGATAGCTTTGCTGGATAAAGTAATCTTGGTTGTAGGTTCTTGCTATTCATCACTTTGAATATTTCTTGCCACTCTCTTCTGGCCTGCATGGTTTCTGTTGAGAAATCAGCTGACAGTCGTATGGGTACTCCCTTGTAGGTAACTGACTTTTTTTCTCTTGCTGCTTTTAAGATTCTCTCTTTGTCTTTTGCTCTTGGCATTTTAATTATGATGTGTCTTGGTGTGGTTCTCTTTGGATTCCTTTTGTTTGGGGTTCTCTGTGCTTCCTGGACTTGTAAGTCTATTTCTTTCACCAGGTAGGGGAAGTTTTCTGTCATTATTTCTTCAAATGGGTTTTCAATATCTTGCCCTCCCTCTTCTTCTGGCACCCCAATAATTCTGATGTTGGTACGCTTGAAGTTGTCCCAGAGGCTCCTTATACTATCTTCATATTTTTGGATTCTTTTTTCTTTTTTCTTTTTTGGTTGGGTATTTTTTGTTTCTTCGTATTTCAAATCTTTGACTTGATTCTTCGGATCCTCTTGTCTGCTGTTGGATCTCTGTAAATTATTCTTTATTTCAGTCAGTGTATGCTTAATTTCTAGTTGGTCTTTTTTCATATCCTCCAGGGTCTCACTAAATTTATTGGTGGTTTCAATAAAATTCTTGAAAAACCTTATAAATGTGGTTTTGAACTCTATATCCAGTCATTTTCTTTCCTCCATTTCTGTCATTTGTGACCTGTTTCTTTGTCTCCACATTTTTTATGCTTCCCTGTGTTGGTAGAGTGGTTTTGTGTGCTAGGTGTCCTATAGGGCCTAGTGGCTCAGCCTCCCCAGTTACTTGAGGTGGACACTCTTGGTGCACCTCCTTGTGGGTTTTGTGCAGTCTTGTTGTAGTGATGCCTTGATTGTTGTAGGTATCACTGGGAGGAATTGACCTCCAGGCCAATTGGCTGTGAGAATCAGCTGTATCTGCAGTGGGAGAACTTCTGTGCTGAAGACACCCTTCTGGGGCAAGACTTGCTTCAGTGGGGCTTTGGTGCTCACTGAGTCTGCCCCCTGAGTGTGTCCCTTAGGGATCTGAGGAGTTGTAATCTGGATGGTCCCACTCTGACCACTGGGTACACTGGCTCTTGGATCTAAGGAGGTGCCAATTTAGCCTCTTCCTGAGGTTACCCAGCAGGAGCTAAGAAGAGATTTGCAGATTCCCCTTCCTTTTTTGGGGTTTGGAGGTGCCCAGATGATGCCCAGCTGTGAAGCAATGCAAGCTGCTGTGGGGCCTTGGGCCTTCTCTTGGAAGTTCTGGGTCTGTCTGGCCCAGCTGCAATTTGTTAAGTAATTTTCAGGTTGCAAAAGGCCAGGGCATTCATATGCAAAAGCCTCTGCTGCAGCCTGGGTGGGGCAGGGTCTCAGGGAATCAAAGGGTGGAGCAAGCATCTATGGTTGATCTTCAACCCTGCCCTAAGGGGCTGCACGTCTCAGTGTCCCGGTAATTGCTGCAAGCACCTCTGAGGGAAAGGTGCCCTCAAGTTCTGCATTCTGCCTGCTGCCAGACAGTCCAGTTTCTCCCCTTATGAGCCCTGGGTCCCCAGAGACTTCCTGGAACCGGAGTTCAGAGCAGTCAGGAGCTTGTGACTCCCTCCCAATTCAAAAAGACAGCCGCATCCTCAGGTATCAGCCCTGCACTTTACTTCTGCAGCTCCTCTGAGTCTCAGT